AAGATATGGAAACAACCTAAGTGTCCATCAGTGGATGAATGGATAAAGAAATTGTGATTATATATATATATATATATATATATATATATATATATATATATATATATATATATCAGAATAATAGAATATTATTCAGCCATAAAGAAGAATGAAATCTTGCCACTTGCTACAACACAGATGACTGGATCTCGAGGGCATTATGCTGAGTGAAAAGTCAGAGGAAGACAAATATTGTGTAATCTCACTTATATGTTGAATCTAAAAAAGCCAAACTCATAGAAATAGAGAGTAGAATAGTGGTTACTGGGGGCTGGGGTTGGGGGTGGGGGTGGTAAATGGAAAGATGTTGGCCAAAGAGTACAAATTTCCAGCTATAAGGTAAATAAGTTCTGGGTATCTAGTGTACAGCTTGGTGACTATAGTTAACAATACTATTTTATATACTTGAAAGTTAAGAGAGTACAACTTAAATGTTATCACCACAAAAAATAATAGTAATTATGTAAGGGGATGGAGGTGTTAACTAACCCTATTGTGTTAATAATTTTGCGATATATACACGTATCAAATCATCATGTTGTTTTACACCTTAAATTTACATATGTTGTATGTCAGTAATATCTCAATAAAACTGGGAGAGAAAAAAAAACAATTAGCAGCTAGCACATATGAAGTACTTACTGTGTGACCAGCACTGTGGGTCCATTCCCTCACGTGGTTTACACAATACCCTTCTCTGGTAGGTACAACTGTTAACCTCATTTCACAAATAAAGAAATGAAGACTTAGATTAGTAGCAAAGTCACCAGTTAGTAGGATCTATCTGAACGCAGGACTGGGTTCTTAGTCCCTATTACATACTTAGCACTTTTGAAAGATGAGCGATAAGTTTGGTATAATCCTCATATATTATGTGAAATACTTATTTAACATCTGCACTGGAAAAATAGAGACCCACTTAAACCACGTGTTTTTTTTTTAAGGGAAATTCACCCTATGTGAAGTTCAGACTATAGATATTTACCTCTCCTCCCCTAGAAATAGGGGACTCTTCAGTGAAAATGCCAATGGTGGTAGTGAAGGTTTATAAAGCGGATGATGGGATCCCAGAGGGAAGTCCTGTTCTCCCTGGCATTCTCATTGAGTGGTGTTCCCCTGGGAAGCCCTCAGCTTGAGGGCTGGGTCCTCATCCATTTGCCCCCATGCAAAGTCTGACCTACACTGGGTTGCCCATGGGCACCCCACTCAACGAAAGAGCTTATAGGGAAATGGACCACAGCAGCTACCCAACCCTTAGAATCAGCATGATCAAGATTCCAGAATCACTAGCCAAGAGGAGACCCAGCAGTCTTAAAGATGAAAGAAAAGATAAGCTGAGGCTTTAACTCCAGAGAAACCAGGTAAAATTTCGAAAAAAGAAGAGAATTTAAAATTACACCTCTAATAACCTCAGAGAGTCTTGAGAGGATAGTATATCCATAAAGGAATGAAGTGCTATGCAAAAGGCACAGAAAATAAGAATGCTCTCAGATTGACAATGCAGGGTTGCCAAAATTAGAAATTAAATAAGACTAAGCATAAAGTTAAAAATAATCCCCCAGGGCATAGCATTAAAAAGTCCAAAAACAGAGACAAAAGTACAAAATGTAAAAGGGAAAAGAAAAATTAAGGCTCAACCAATGAGGTCCAGCACCCACCCAATAAGCACCTGCCCGAAAGGGTCAGAGGGAGAAAATTATCAAAGCCATGAAAGAAGAGACTCTCCCAGAGTTGAGATATACGTGGCTTTGGATTTAAAAGACCCACTGAGTAGCCTTCACAATAAGTGAGAAAATACCCAAATTTAGATAGACCTTGTAAAAACATTTTCAGAAAGAAAATACCAAATCTTCAAGAGACAAAATGTGGTCACCTAGGAAGAAAGAGAATCCAATCCATTTTCAACCTAATACCAGCACGCTGAATGCCCTAGGAGCAATGCCTTCCAGTTTCTGAGGGAACATTATTTCAGCTTAAATTTTTTTAGCCTGCCAAGCCCTTAGTCAGTGGGAAGGCAGAAGAAAGATTTTTCATATATGAAAGGACTCAGAAAGCTTATCTTCCCTAAGGCCTTTCTTAGTAAGTAATTTAAGGATGTTGTCCAGCAAAATAAAGGAAACCAGGAAAGAAGATGACAAAGAGTTAGGAACAAGTAGACCCAGGGCAGCACTGAGGGCCCTTCCGGAATGTCAGCTGTGCCGCCCACCCAAAAGGCAAACAGCCCAGCCAGAAGCAGAAGCAAAGTTTCCAGGAGGGAAATCCTACAGAAGAAAGGACCATCTTCAGAAACAGAGCACGATTGAAAAACTAGAAAAAGGTACATTATGCTAGGAAAAAAGGGAAAAGGCAACAAGAAACTTGAAGGAAAACACAAAAAAATTGACAGAAAACTCATGAGCCACATGTGAAAAAAAATTGTAATATGACATGTTTTTAGCATCTAAGCTTCAGTGAGCTGTCAGATTATAGACTCCATTTGACCTTGATGCTAGGAATGTGTTCCTTGCACATATGACCCCTGTAGGATCTTGTTAAACCAGCCAGGGAGATGTAATTCCAGCACAGATGATCCAACCTGGCCCTGGACAATAATATCACATAGAAATAAAAAATATAAACACTTTAAATGGGAGTTAAATTCTTAAAGTCAACTGATAAAAAGGCATAGAAAGAATGTGAATATTAATGACTTTAGGTAAAAGTAATGGCATAGTTGATGAGAGAATGGACGTGAAAGAGAGAGAGAAGAGGTGGGTAAAGCAGGGGAGGTACCGATTCCGTATCTTAGAGTCGAGCTGAAGAGAAAGTGTCCTTATTTGGTGTCCATACAGAAATTTAAGTATGTTTTTTATAGTTACAATGATAGCTCAATTGAATTATTTTAAAAATAATGAATCACCAACCATTAGGAAGAGAGGAGTGAGGTTGTGTAGAGTGAGCAAAACCCTCATCTTTCATGGCGGTAAATCAAGAAATTGGATATAAGCTAATTATCTAGAGTTATAGGGGTAACCATAAGCGAAATCCAAACTACAAAATGGTACAAAGAGGTTGTCTCTCAGAGGTGATGGCAAAGGTTGGTGTAAGAGATTAGATAAAAACAAAAAGCTAAAAATTCAGTTAAAAACAAAGAAAGAAATACATATTGCAAATATTTATGAAATGCAACTTTAATTGGAAACCCGTCAGGAAATGAAGTAGATTTCCTTGTGTTTCTGTCTCCATGCACAGACATATATATTACTTCTCTCTTCCCCTTAATATCTGCTTATGGTTAGCTCCTGCTTCCTCATAGCTTCCACTTACCAGGACCCCTTGTATCAGTCAGGGTGCAGATAGGAAGGAGATCAGACCTGATTAATGAGATTCCTGTCAAAGGTGAGGCCAGGTTCAAGGAAACCAGTGAAGGCTGGGGAAGAACCATGGGGCTAGCAGCTCAGGAAGCCCCATCACTCCTAGGTCCCAGGTTGAGGCAGTTAAGGAACTGGAGAGGGGGCTGGGAAGAGCTGCCCTGGAAGGGCTGAGACCTTCAGAGAGAAATGAACCTCTGCCAGCCACAACCAGAGCAAAAAATACCTCATGTCTCTCCCCAGGCAAGGGGTCCAGTTTCTCAGACAGGGTCAAGGGGGGAGAGTGGCCAGGAGATTTGGAGGGGCAAATGGAGAACATCCAACTCGCCCTGTAGCCTTTGCTAAGCCTGAGGCTTCTTTTCTATAAACCCCTTTATTACATCCCTTACGGCAGTCACTTTAGTCACTCAGTATTTCCTAGCTGATTTCTAACTGAGTGAATGAGAGCACTGCAGCTCTGCCATCATTGGCGAGGCTGTGGGTTAGCTCACCTTGGGTCAGCTGCCTGGTGCAATCAGCTACCTTGGAAGTGGTGGGGTTGAGCGAGCGGGAAATGTACTACAAAACATCCTCGCGCTGGGTGGAGCCAGTTCACCTGTTGGCAGGTCTAAAACAGATGCAAATAGAGGCTCCTGTATCACATATAAATTAAGCAATAGTCGTTGTAACATTGTAATTGATTTGTCTAAGGACTCAAATGATAATAGTTAAGGTTTATTGAGCACTGTCTATGATGCAGGCACTTTATGGGTGTTCTCTCATCTAACCTTTGCCACTATTCTGTAACTGGGCCTGATTGTTGTTCGTATGTTACACATGAAGAGGTCACATGCGCAGGGGTTAAGCAGCTTCCCAGAGGATGCCCAATGTCAGGTAAGGGGTGGAGGCTGGATTTCACCCAGCCTAGGAAATCTGACACTGGGCCTCAGCTTCTGAACACCATTCTTGTCACATCTGAGAAACAAAATAAAAATTAACATCGTCTTTTAAAGGGGCTTACTTTTGGGGAGAGATTCTTCCTTTCCATCACCATTTCCAAAAGTAATACTATAACAGCACTACAGTTATCCAAGATGTTGCCATTAGGGAAACAGGATAAAGAGTAGACGGGATGTGGTTGGATTATGTCCTACAACTGCATGTGAATGTTCATTCATCCCAGAATAAAGCTAAACAAATATTACAGAAGCAGCACCAACTACCATGGACTCATTTACTCAACAAATATGTGTAAGGTATCTTCTATGTGCCAGGCACTGTTCTAGGCGCGGGGGAGACAGCCAAGAAAGATATACAAAAATCCTTGATCTCATGGAGTTATCATTCTAAGGGAAATTGGCTTGTCCAAAGCGTCCTTCAGTCCGGTTACTTGTAATTCAATTATGAAATACATGCTTATTACCTAAACGCTGATAGCAAAGTATTTACTTCCTGATCCCCTGAAAAGTGGGTCTGATTAGGTTTCCCTGGGTGAATACCAAGCCTTATCTCAAATGGTAAATATATGAGTCATTCTTTCTCTCTACTCTTAGAATACCTGCACAATGTAAGCGCTGCACACGTGCTTGGAAAGCCTAACTGCCTTCTCTTCCGGGCTCTTCTTTCCTCCAGGTTACAGAGAGCACCCAGGTGTGAAGCTGTGGACACAGTCGGTTGTTTCAGAAAAGATGCGGACGTAACTGATGAATTGCAAATACTGGCTAGAGCTCCCAAAGAGAAACGTTTCTCTCCACGATTCCGGGCACGAGAGATCCAAGACACCCTGGAAGAAGATGCAGCCGGCGGACAGAAGACGGCAGCCACCAAAGCGCTGAGGGGAGTCCCTCCCTGCGTTTCCGTCCTGGCTCCAAGTTTTCTTCATGATGTCCTGTAATAGCACATCCACTGAGACTTCGGAATACGCGCTGCTGACCGGGAGCAACGTGTCGGACACCGGGGCGACCACTCCGCCCGCGCCCCTCAGGGTGTGTTTGGCGGTAGTCATGCTGCTGATGATCGTCGTCGGGCTCCTTGGCAACGCTGTAGTCTGCGTCATCGTGTACCAGAGGCCGGCTATGCGCTCCGCCATCAATCTGCTGCTGGCCACGCTGGCCTTCTCCGACATCATGCTGTCCTTATGCTGCATGCCCTTCACCGCCGTCACGCTGATCACGGTCCACTGGCACTTTGGGGATTACTTTTGCCGGCTGTCAGCCACACTCTACTGGTTTTTTGTCCTGGAGGGCGTGGCCATCCTGCTCATCATCAGCGTGGACCGCTTTCTCATCATCGTCCAACGCCAGGACAAGCTGAATCCGCACAGGGCCAAGGTGATCATCGCCGTGTCCTGGGCGCTGTCCTTCTGCGTCTCGGCTCCATCGCTGGCCGGCTGGACCATGGTGGAGGTGCCTGCGCGGGCTCCGCAGTGCGTGCTGGGCTACACCGAGTTCCCAGCCAGCCGTGCCTACGTGGTGACGCTAGTGGTGGCCGTGTTCTTCGTGCCCTTCGGCGTCATGCTGTGCTCCTACCTGTGCATTCTGCACACTTTCCGGAAGAACGCCACCCGTGTCCACAACAAGTCCGACAGCCTGGATCTCAGACAGCTCACCAGGGCCGGTCTGAGGCGGCTCCAGCGGCAGCAGCAGGTCAGCTTGGACTTGAGCTTCAAAACCAAGGCCTTCACCACCATCCTCATCCTCTTCGTGGGCTTCTCACTGTGCTGGCTGCCGCACTCGGTCTACAGCCTCCTGTCTGTGTTCAGCCGCAGGTTCTACTGCAGCCCCTCCTTCTACACCACCAGCTCCTGCGTCCTGTGGCTCAGCTACGTCAAGTCTGTCTTCAATCCCATCGTTTACTGCTGGAGGATCAAAAAATTCCGCGAGGCCTGCATAGAGCTGCTGCCCCAGACCTTTCAAATCCCCCCCAGAGTGCCTGAGCGGATCCGAAGGAGAATCCAGCCAAGCACCGTCTATGCCTGCAACGAAAATCAGTCCGCCGTCTAGAGAGAAGCAGGCGGAGTGGGGAGGCACATGGGGACTGGACCGGGACCGAGCCCCGCTGTCCTTCTGCTCTGTTTCCTGGCATCTGAGGCGTACTCGGCATTTTGTGGCGGTCATTTAAGCACAAGGGTACTCATTTGTTACCAGATGAGCTACTACTCCCAAGTTTGCAAGATGAATTATTTTCGTTTCTCGCTGCAAGAGAACAGGGTGTGGGTCTGATGGAACCTGGAAGGTAGTTAAGACGCTGGGAAATGGGTGGAGGGGTGCAGAAGGTGGGCAGAAAGTGAGGGAAGAGGAGTGCAGCTGGGAGTGAGGTTGGCGGAGTGTGGGGCAGGAGGAAGGCTCTGTCTGAAGAGCTCCATGTGCACCAGCTTAAGAGAGACCCCGTGGTGCCATATTCTGATGTGAGAAACCCAAGCAGGTATCCTTTCCTGGGGGGAGCATTCACTTTATGTGACGTCAGCATTCCTCAGAGGCTATTTGCCTTTGGGATAGATGGGGAAATGTGCAAGATTCTTTATGTTGATCACATGTGCGTTTCTGACCAGACCAAACCATCCTTTCTAGAAACCAAAACCAAACTGGGAAGCAGAGTGAGCCCCTGTGCTTCTCAGTTTCCGTTGTGACACGTTGGAGGCCTCAGTGGCTCAAAGTCCAGGGCTTGTCCAGGGGCAGCTCCACCGAGGTGAGAAGCCTACCCGAGTGCTTATGCATGTACCACACCCCTCCTACCTGCATAACCCACCCTGTCCCTGTGCCACGAAGTCCTTCATCCTCACTGTCTGCGGTGACAGTCCCTCTGCCCCTTCTTACTTCCCTCCACAGTCCCCATTCCTCCATCAATATCCAGTGCACAGAAAAACACAGTCTTTCTCTTGTAATTCATCTTTTCAGCAAGTGTTCACAGCGACTTGCTTTCAGTCTCACAAGTGGTCAGTGGGCTTTGTTTACACATTTCCTCTCCACAGCCTGAGGCTGCAGCGTCTTTGAGCTGCCACATCCACCTCGGCACTGGAACTGCAAACAGGGGACGTACTAGACACCCACCCAGCTGGCAGTTCCTCATCGATCTCTGTGCTCCTCCTACCTCATTCAGATGCTGTCCTCTGGGCCATCTACCCACGACCTTGGTCCTTTAAGCCCAAGCAGAACTGGGATCCCAGGACTGAAACTGCCTAGAGGGGACCTTGGCCACTATACCCAGGGCCACCCATTACACCAGGAGCTTCTGATGTGGGGTCAACTCTCCTGAGTTCAAGGCACACCATTGAGTCCATGAAGCTCTCTTTACAGTTTCAGATCTGAAAAGAGTGGGACATTTAAAGAGAAATTCAGAAAATCTGATTCCAAGTCTAAGTCTATCAAGAACCAGTCATGTGACCTTGTTCATTGCACATCACTTCTCTGGGCCTCAGTTTCCCCATTTGCCAAGTGAGGAAGCAGGTCTAGATGATCTCCAATGTCCTTTTCATCTCTCAGACACTCCGAGTCTAAAATGTGTATGCTGTCTACTCATGGTCACCAGAACCCCTGCATTCATTTATTTATCCACGCAATGAGCCTTTATCAAGTGCCTATTAGATGCAGGACACTGTGGGGGAGAAAGTGATGGACATGTGTAGACTGCGCTCAAAAGCAGTCATCCGATTTATCTCATGTAACTCAAATTTGGCCCAAGAACACAGATAATCCCTTTTGTTTCTCTTCTCGTTTCCTTTCCAAGGTTGTATTAAGAAGCCAGGTCTTCGTTCTCACACTTGCTTTCTGTGGTACTAGTGACAGAGGCAGGGAAAAAGGGAGTTAAGGAGAAGAATATAATTTACATTATCTAAGCTCAGAGGAAGATTTGTACAGAAAACAACTGACACCTTTTCTCACTAGCTCCACCCTCCTTTTATACCCAGATGGACAAAGAAAGAAGATGGCATTTGGTATGTGGTTGACGTGGGACCCGTCAATTCTGTGTCCCGAGTGCCCCTAGCGATGTCAGGGTTTGTCTTCAGCTCCGACAAGGCAGACTTGCACAGACTCAGTGGTGTCCAAGAGCACAGCCAGACCACTGAGGGGACCAGCCAGTGGGCCTTTCTTCCAGTGGCCATTTCAAAGACTGTTCCCCCAGACCCTTGAGTAAAAGAGAAATCACAAAACTGAATGAATGAAGGTACCAAAATTTGTATCAATCAGTGTTACATGATGTATGTTGGACAGTAATATATGTTTCAAAGTAATACTTTTGTATATATTTTAAATAAAGTATTATTGTTCTTTCAGTGTATAAGATGATGTTCTTACCCAAATTGGCACCAAGACCATGAAGAGTAAGCAAAAAATCGGGTATCTGGTACCTCCTAAGACACAACAACGTCAGGTAACCTAAAACCTGTAAGTTACTAACCAAGTTGGGATGACTAAAGAAAGACATTAATGATGACAACTGAGAGGCTGTTTGAGCAATGGGGTCACTACTGGGGGTGTGGGGGGGTGGCATCCACATTTTAAAAAACCACAGCCCTGCTAAATAACTCCAGTCAGGGAGCCTTTTTTTTTTTTTTTTTCATGCTGGAGTTGAACCGGCAACCTTGCTGTTAAGAGCGCACTCTCTATCCACTGAGCCATCTGGGCGGCTGCTCAGTTTAAGAAGCCGAGTTCAGTTCAGTCTTAGTTGCAAGTGGGCATAGCCCCAGCCAGCAAGTCTTCACCTCTGACTCTCAGTGGGCCACCGTCAGAATTCTCTCCGGCCTCGCTGGACCTTTAACAAACTTCACTTTGCAAGGATATTATTACATAAACACTGAGTTCTTGTCTCCTGTGAGGCTTGCAGCACTGCTTCTTTGTTTCATGTTTTCATCTCCTCTTTAGCCCTGGGGGTCCCTGAATCCTGTGTACCTGAATTGTTTTGTGAGGCCTTGGGCAGCGACTAGTAACTGTCCAGGAGGCTGGTCGCCCAGATTCCTTGGGAGAGCCTAGCCTCAAAAAACGACACACAAATAAGTCTCAGAAGTGTCATCCTAATTTTGACTATCCCTGAAAATTCTTTGCATCTTAAATCTTGGTCCCTGCTATTGGGATGAAATAAATAAAAGCAAAGTTTCTCTAGGACATCCTGACAACCAAGATGGGTGACAGACATCTAGATCAATTCCTCCTTTGCTATTCTGAGCCCTGGGTGTGCTTTTCAACATGTGATTTACAGCACATGCTTTTATTGGACGAAAACCCCGCTAGGTACGTTTTTTCAGTGCTCTGTCCCCCTTGCTCATGCAATTGGCGGCTCCGGCCCCCAGAGCCTCTGGAGCCTTGGAGTGCCCAGCACCCAGGTTTTTGCTCTTATGGAAATGCATGGGGGTGGGCGGAGCAGAAAGGGCATGTGCTCCAGGAAGGCACAGTCCAAACCCCAGCACCACCTTGCTCTCTGCGTGGTTCCAGGCAAGAGATTCTGGGTGATTTTGCACCCCAGTTTCCTCATCTCCTAAAGAACAAAATACTCCCAGCGAGAGAGCTCCACAAAGAACAAATGAAAGAATGTATATTAAAGATCTTGTCTGATGCCTGGGCAATGGTAGGGGCTGAATATACAGTGGCAATAATTATGACAGTTGTACTTTTTTATGGCCAAGATTTGTCCTTTTGGGGTAAGAGTAGCAATTTGTTTCAGAAACTGGCTGACAGGTCCCTTTCCTCATCTTCACATGGTCCTAAGATTTCAGGGTTCAGTTCACAAGAACACAGCATCCACTGAAGCCAGGAGCATGGATTTGACTTTAAATAACTAAATTCTCAATAGCCTGAACTGTCACTTCATTCCATTCGAAACTCTTCCTGGGCTGTACTCTGGCCTCACAGGGCTGCTAGGAGAATGGGGTGGAACCCCTTTCCATGCCAGGAAAGGCAACCTAAGGTGCACATGCCGCTGCCCTGAGGGTGGTTCTGAGGTCTGCAGAGAGCTGAGTAGCATCACTGAGAATGTAGGGAGGCAGTAGGGAGGCTTAGGGTAACAGACACTCAACTCTAAAAGGCAGGTGGGCGGGTTCTCTGCTCATGTGGCTCAACACTCAAGTTCCTTCCATCTATTATAGTTTCCCTTAATCCCCTGAGGCATGCCCTCATCTTTGTGGTGAATCTGGGCTGCAGCCAAGTTGTTCTGGCTCCTGAGGAAAGAGTGTGGAGGAGAAGTGTGTTAAGGAACACTCTTCTGGGCTTCCCTGGCCCAGAGCCGAGTCACATGACCACACCACTGCAAAGGACACTGGGAGATGGAGTCCTTAGTCAGGCAGCCATGTGCCCAGCCACGACTTTCTTTTCTTTTCTTTTTTTTTAATTAATGTTTATTGGGGTGACATTTGTTAGTAAAGTTACATAGGTTTCAGGTGTACAATTCTGTAATACATCATCTATATATCACATTGTGTGTTCACCACCCAGAGTCAATTCTTTTCCCATCACCATATACCGTATTTCCCCATGTATAAGACGCACACTTTTTTGAAAAATTTGGGGTCTAAAAACTGGGTGCGTCTTATACAGTGGTTGTAGGGGTTTTTTAACTTTCATTTCCTGCTTTTTCATGCTTGTTGTCTTTGCGCTCATTGTTTCGCACTTGTTACCAGTATATTACGGTAGGTTACGTTTTGCCACGTTCTGCCCAGAAATGGCTCAGAAAAAGATTTTCGTACAGTGCTGAATTCAAGTTAAAAGTGATCCAGTTTGCAAAAGTGAATGGAAATCATGCTGCTGAACGGAAGTTTGGTCCTCCTCCAACTGAGAAAACAATCCGAGACTGGCTACGGGAAGAAGAAACACTACTGAAAACGCCACGGCAGAAGAAGGCCATGAGAGGCAATATATGAAGACAGTGATTCGTCATCAGACACAGATGAGGACAAGCTAACGGTTGGGAGTTTTGACAGTGATGATGAGTTGTATGAATTTTATGATGAATAAAACTTGAGTTCAATAACTTTATGTAATACATTTTTTTTCGAATACATTTTTTTTCAAATTTTGGGCCCCAAAATTAAGGTGCATCTTATGCATGGGAGCATCTTATACATGGGTATTTGATCCCTTTTACCCTCATCTACCACCCACCACAACTTTCTTAGCATGGAAGGAGAGGAAAAGGATTTGGTGGATTCCCAGTAGTCTCTCCCAGGGTATTGCACAATTTTGAGATCCTAGCATGCATACAAATTCTTAAGTCCTAAGTACAAATTTCATCAATGAGTACTTTCTCATTGTAAAATAAACACATCTCTGTCACATCGACCCAAGATGGTTGCCTCTCTCTTTACCTCTCTTTACCCAACATATAGGGACCTGTATCCAGATACAGAAATTGCAAGCATGTATGCCTGTGCTAAGAAGATAAGTCACCACATTTAACCTTTTAGACACAAAAGATGTGAGACATGAATGCTAAACTATCTGAAAATTTGCAACCACAAAGGAAGGAATTTTGCCAAGATAAAAAAAAAATTACTATCTAAAATGACAATCAACAGTGATTGAGAGGAAGTTTGCCTGAGAATTTGATTATGTTAAAGGAAAGAGTGTAATTTCAAAGCTTCTTTTATTGAAAGGTGGACACAGGCAAGGTAGACATCCCCCAGAGTGTGCGAAGGGGCTCAGGACAGGCCATGGCAATTTAATTGTTCAACGAAAGGGAGGGCTTTGGATCCTAGCTGCAAGGTTAGCACCTGGATTGTATAAGAATAAAAGGATGTTTGAACACAAAAGTGCAGTGTGTGTGTGTGTGTGTGTGTGTGTGTGTGTGTGTGTGTGTGTGCATATGCAAGCGTGTGCATGGTTTGAGTAGGTGTCCAAGGTGACTTTAGCAGACAGTTCCAGTTTACATCCTGCTCTCTAGCCTTTCATTCTGGAGGAGCAGGGGACATGGTGTTTTAGGAATAGGAGAGGTGCCAGAGATTGCCTGGCTCAGAGAGGGAAACAGGAGCAGGTGAGGCACAGATTTTTCATAATTAGTCAGATAGAAACACAGAGAACTGCATGAGAAACACTTGGACGTGACCAGAACTTTACCTTCTGCAGTCAGGAATCTGAGGGCACTGATATGCAAGCTCAGCCTTTGGAGTTGTTCAGGGCGAAGCCTAAAGGTCCCCAAGGTCTGGGTGATAAGTTAATGCCTTGCACTGAACCTGCACATTCATGCCACCTCTGGCATCTGCTGCCCGTTTGCCAACCCTAAGCAGTCCAGTCAAGGAAAAAAAAAAATAGCCATGCTCATTTTCAGAAACATTTTTTGAAAGATAGGTTTGCTTCTCCTTACTGACTGTCCTGTTGGGGACTATTATTTCTCATTTCCTCCCTCATTGAAATGCTGCTGCTGTGTTCCTCGGGTACAGTATTTTGTGGCATCATGAAGACTTCGAATGTTTTATTAAGCCATAAACACAGGGTCACTAACATCACCATAAAAGACAAGACTGAATCATTTTGAAAACGCATATGACAAAATGGAAAGCTTAACTTGCTTTCTAAGTGTGCCCAGAGGTACCGAAGAAATTCTGTAGGAAAATGGGAGGCTGTTTCTCCCTTTTCTCTCTCGGATGTGCTGGGCCTCTTGGAAAGCAGCCAGCCCTGGCTGCTCAGAAAGCGTTTCCTCTTGCAGCGAGCCCTGTGGCTGCTGAAATGCATTCACTTAAGACCAGCACAGGTGGTTGGGGGCACGTGTGAGGTTCTCTCAGCCAGGCCCAGGTAGTACTCGTGGATGCTTCCTGCACTCTCCACAGTAATGATGCTTCACAGTTTCCGTCTCACAGACTCTAACTCTCTGTTATGCCTTCGTGTGAAACTGCAGACTCTCTTCTGCCAAGGGATCCTCTTCATTCCTTGGCCCCCTTCTCTGGTTTCCTCAGCTCTTTCCTTCTCAATGCAATAAGCAGGTACTGCAAAGGTCTTAACGTGACACGAGATGACACTACATCAAAGTCTAGGTTTAGGTTCTGTAAAAGAAGGGCGTATTTTCTTTTTTTTGTTTTCTCCCCCCCCCCCACTCCCGCCACCTCTGAGCTGTTGTTCTCAATCTGGTTGTGGAGGACGCAGCTCACTGTCCCATGTTGGTATTATAATCATTGTGCTCTACCTGGCTGAGGCAGTCAGTCACCTGCCATTGGCTGGCTGCTCACACTTGCTACCGGCTGTGGCTCAC